GCTACAATTATGGTCTATGATCCGTTATTTTCCAGCCAATAAGTCGATGATATATTCACACATTATTATACCTGTCTGTTTAAAAATACTAAATGTAAACGATACTTCTCATTGAACTTACTAGCTTTGTCAAAACTCTAGATGTTTTAAAAAATCCAAGTCAGACTCAAAAACACTCTTTACATCTCTACTGTCCACACTCTTTTGTCCACGAGTTAATGGAATCATTGGCTCTAATTCTGTTGGAAGTTTATGATAAAAAATTATCAGAGAAATCTTGAACATAAGAAATATATCGATATTATATGACATCTAATCAAACATAAATAATGAGAGAATCAACGAATGTTCTTGTTCCCCAAAGAATAACAAACACATTTTCAAATAGAATAAAACAACAACAATAATATTTAACATTTTAAGTACTACTACAAGAAATGAGTTATGAGCCAAATGTTAGTAACTATTATACTAAACAGAATGATAGTGAACTTGCATGATATTTATAACCAAACACACACAAAAATAGAAAATATATTTATATTATTTTTTAAGATATCTCAGTCCCCCCTAATGGTTTAGCGGTAAAGTTACAGATGTATAATGCTCAAATCCAGCGTTCGATATTCCTCGGCGGACAGAGCACAAAGAGCCTATTGTGTAGCTTTGCATTTAAACAACAACATAAGTTGTTGTTCCGGAAACCCAAGCTTCGATTCCAAAGTGACGTCATCTACATTTTGAAGCAACAGTGTTTACCTTAGAACAGCGCCGTCTACAATATTGTGAAACTTCTTAGATCCATTATTTTGATGTAATGCTAACAATGTATATATCCGATGTTGATGTAAGTCCAATTTTAAAGAGTTAGATATATTATTATGTCTGCGGGGAGCTAATCAACGTCAAAATAATATTTGTTAAAATGTATGCCTTGTATCTCGACTTGATCTTTCTTTGGTATTCTGATGCGAATGATATGTCTGTTTGTTTAGTTTGTTGAAGTTCGCGCAAAGTTACACGAGGGATATGTATGACAGCTTTCACTAATTGTGAAGTGCTTGTTTGTTTGTATTTTGAATTTCGTACAAAGCT